CCCCCCCCCCCCCCCGTCCCTGCGCGGGTGAGGGGCTGGCGGGGGTCCCGAGGGGCCCCGGCACCGTCCCCCCGCCCCCCTCTCCCCCTCCCCCGTCCCTGCGCAGGTGAGGGGCCTGCGGGGGCCTTCTGAGGCCGGGAGCGGATGGGTCATTCCCACAGTGCAGGCTCCTTGATTTAACCGTCTCAGGACAGTGCTCGTTCTGACCACAGTCCCAACGCCATTCTCTGCAAGAACGGGGAACAAAACCAAAGAAACCTTAAGAACGAACCCCACACTCCCGTTTTCAGAAGTGATGTGGGTCACCTGCATTTAGGGGGGCCCTGGAAGACCACAGGCCGAGTTTGTTGTCCTGACTGCACAGCCGGATCCCGCTCCCGATTCGTCCCCCACGCTCCCCGTCGGGCTGTCCCGGGGCCCTTTTTAAATAAACACTCGGAGTGGAGCTGAGGAAAGTGAGTGACCTTGTGAGTAAGGGGTGCTGGTACCCGCTCTCTGTGTCTCCTGTGGCTGTGCCCCGGGTGGAGGAGGCCCTTGCCCTGTGCCGCCTGCACCCCCGGCTCCCTGTACCCTCTGTACCCCCTGTGCCCCCTGCTCTCTCTGTACCCCCCACCCCAGTCCCCCTGCACCCCCAGTACCCCTGTGCCCCCTGAACCTAGGCTGCTGAGATCTGTGAGTAATAAATGTTGTGACTTCCTTCCTTGTACTGAAGCTGCGCCTTCAGTCCAAACGGGCCTGGGGTGTCCACTCCCCCGTCGTGGGGGCTCGGAGGCGGGGGGAGCCAGCTGCTGGCCCCACGCACGTGGCTTGTGCCTCCTCTTCAGTAGGTCACACAGTGGATATTCATGGTTCAGTGAAGCTCGGCTGCTCAATGCACTGACCTAATAGGCTTATGGGTCCACGAATGTAGCCATATTTTCTCTTCATGTAGATGGTGAATTCCTTAAGGAGTCAGAATTGCCACAAAATATTTCAAGAAGGGTCTCCCCGGAGAGTCCACGTAATTGGATGGGTCACCTGGGACAATCCAGTCAGTTTTCCTGAGTTAGTAACAAATCTGATTTCCAGGTGCTGCATGGGAAGATGGTGTCAGGAAACCATAAGCCAGATGCACCTGTTAAGCAAAAAAAAAGGACCCCACCTGCAGCTTGTGGGGTCCTGAATTCTGTGCTGCGTGTGGTCAGCAGATACCCGACAGGTTAGCAGATGGTGGTATTGCTCTGTTGAGTCCCTCAGAACTTAGTTCTGAAGCCCGTATGACATCTGCCCGCGCCTGCCCCATAAGTGTGGGTCCTTGTTTTGAAATAAAACAGGAGAGGAAAAAAGAAGGAAAGATGTGGAGTGGGGGAGCACCACACATCCCCCTGCGGTCAGGAGGCTGGCCCTCTGTGTGTGCAGTGGGGGAGGAGGCCCTCCATGTGTGTGTGCAGTGGGGGAGGGGGCCAGGGGGCCCTCTGTGTGTTAAGGCGAGACTGCCTGATGGATGGATGGGATGCAGCAGTGTTTCTTTCTGCGTGTCCGTCCATTCTATTCCTTCCTTCCTTCCTTCCTCCCTCCCTCCCTCCCTCCCTCCCTCCCTCCGTCTCCGTTGCTGTGGCCCCAGACTGCCCAGTGCCCTGGCCAGGCTGGCCCTCGCTGGCCCCCTCCATGTGAGATGTGGCTTTGTGGACATCTCAGGAAACAATTGGGTGCTCACTTCTTTTGTTCTGGTCACACAGTCAGCTGCGCTGCTCTGAGAAGAGGGAACATAGGATCCGATTAACCCCCTGTGGTTTCTTCCCCAGGACTGGCGAAATGTTTGAAAGCAGCCCCCAGATCAGCTGCTCCCATTCCACTGCCTGCAGCATCCTGGCACTCGCTTGGGGGACACCCGAGAGTCATCGATCAATAGGCCCTCGTCCCAGGGGATAAGGCCGGCCAGCTGCCAGGGAGCTGCATTCTAGCAAAGGTGGTTATCCGGTGGAGCCCATTGTGGACGAGCCAGCTTGATGGAGAAATGGCTTTGCAGATCCCAGCTTAATTAAAGCAGGTATTTAGAGTAATGGAAAGTAACGTTTACAATGGTTTCCTTAGTTTTTCCACCTTCAGATGTCTGTGCACGTGCCCGATAGCTTAGCAACAGAGGACGGTTTGGGACTTGTCCCCATTTCTCTTGAGGGCCGGTCTGATTCTCCTCTCTTGATTCTGTGGAAGTTGGAGCTGTAGAAACAGAAACTGCTGTCCCTTCACCCTTCATTAATCCTCACTTCTCTGGACTCCAGGCTCTGCCTTATTCAGTGTAGTTATGTGCCCCTAGAGACACACTGTTTGCTTCTTCACCTCCTGTGTGCCGTTCCATGCCACATGCCACAGTCCTACTCTTCAAAGGATTTATCATGAATTTGGGGAGATGATTCAGACACAGAAATGTCTACAATATAAGGTATTATGTGATAAATATCATGAAAATCTGCACACAGAATGTCATCAGGGGGAGGGGAGGGGAGAGAACTCTGTGCTTGGGGTCTCTACAAGCCGGCCGGGGCCTGGGCTTCCCGGGAAGTGATTCATTGAGTTCTCTTGGAGGCTCTTAGAAGGCAATTATGGAAACAGAGGGTGAGGGAAGAAGCCAGGCAAAGAGAAGGCTTCACATGAGCCTAGTCTCCAGCTGATCTGACAGAAAACTCTGGAACTTGTAGGTGCCACAGAGGCCATGTGCTCTGGGACACAGGTGCTGAGCTGTGGCCCCTGTTGTGGTGACTGTTACTCTGAAGGGCGACATGAGGCATGGTCATAGAAGACACAACCATACTGAGTTATACAGAACGGACAGAAGTGGTCAGAGGCCCCTGCCTGCAAAGCAAAGCACCAAGCCCAGTTAGTTTTGTGGGAGAATTGTACCAAACTTTAAGTAGCAGACAATTTCAAGGCTATTTAAAGTGTTCCAGAGCGTATGAAGACAAGGAAAGACTTCAAATGATTTTTATCATGAAATGCCTGTTACTGATCTATCCACCTGACTGAGAACGTGCAGAAGGAAAACTCCAGGTAGCCTCGGTTATAGGTATTGAAAATTCTAACCGCCAAGCATTGGAGGAAAAGAGCAATACAGTAAGTACTACAAGGGTGGTTTATTCCAGAAATGCAAAAATGGGTTCAATTAAAATGCAATTCAAAAATACGATTATAATTACAGATACTGAAAAGGCATCTACAAAATCCAACAACTACTTTTGGTAAAAACTCAATAAAAAATAGGTGGATTTTTAAATGTGATTTTACACATATGTATACGTATATGTATATATTACGTAGGTATATACACACACATATACGTCATAAAGATATAGATATACACACACGTTATAGAGAGATGTGTATACAGACACAGATGTTACAGAGGTATGTGTGTTATATAGAGAGATACATACACATGCACAATGTTATAGAGAGTTGGATGTAGACACAAATGCATGTTATAGAGACATGTACACACATACACAGACATATGTAGGCAGAGGTATACACACAGGCACACACACACATATATAATATATAGAAAGAGGTGTAGACACACGTAGAGACAGGTATATTCACATACATGGTAGAGAGGGATATGCACATGCACCCTCCCCTAGTGTCATGCTTGCTGGGGAAACACTAGAGGGGTGTCCACTGAGCCCAGGAATACCGCAAGAATGCCCATGGTAACTTCCTTACTTAACATTTGTTGAAGTTATTAGCCAGCACAAGAAGAGAAGGAAATTGGAGATACAGTAATTGGAACGGAGAAGTAAGAGTATTGCTATTGAACGTGCTATGATTTATATGTGGAAATCTCTGGAGAATCCAATTGGAATACAGCTAGAAATAGAGAGTCAGAAAGGGGATAGGGTGCAAGTTAATATACAGAAATCGATAGCTTTCATCTGTACACACAACAGCGGGTAAGAGACTGTAAGGGACAAACCGCTCTGTTTACAGCAGCAAACAAGATAACAGGAATAAGTTTAACAAGAAATGATCAAGACGAATAACCAATAAAACATTACCCTTCCCCCTGCAAGACACCAACAAAGCGTGAACAAGTGGATGTCCCACATACTCAGACAGGAAGATCTGACGTCATGAAGCCTCTCTAAAGTGATTGATGAGGTTAACATGGTTCCGACGGGAACAGCACGAGGGCTTTGTTTCTGACAAAGAAAATCAGGTTGAAAAGTATAGTTTTGTCCTGTCATTTATATTTGAGCCATGCAAGTTGATTCTGGTAGGAAACCCAGGAAATTCTGGGAAAGAACACCAATAGTAGCACACAAAGCTGGGAGATACCAAGCAGATTACAAGGACTCAGTAACAACTTGCTATGGTTCTGATGCATGAAGTCCCACAAGGGGAACAGAGCAGAGTCCAGAAATTGACCCAAAGTCATGCAGGAAGTTGGTGTAGGATACGGTGATAGCATCTCAAACCTCGGGGGCAAAGGGCCACTATTCCATTAGTGCTGTCTAGTAACTGAAGAGCCATCTGAGAAATAAAATTGTATCTTCACCTTATACCATGCATCAGGACCAATTCCAGGCAGATCAAAGGTTTAGGTGCAAAAAAATGAAGACCTACACATGGGTGTTTCCAGCAGTTTCATTCATAATCTCCCAAACTTGGAAGCAACCAAGATGTTCTCTGTTAGTAGGTGATATGGTCCGCCCAGACAGTGGAACAGTGTTTGGGTGATGCGGCCCCGCCAGACAATAGAATAGTATTTGGCACTAAAAAGAAATGAGCTCTCAAATCACGAAGAGACATGGAGGAAACTGGCATGCTTATTACCAAGTGAAGGACGCCAACTTCCTTCCTAGGGCTCCACACTGTGTGACTGCAGCTACATGACGCTCCAGGAGAGGCGAAAGTATGAGACAGAAAAAGATCAGTGATTACAGGGCTGGGGGGAGCGTGGGGTGAAGAGACGGAACACATGGAGAGGGTTCTTAGGGCAGTGAGACTAGTCAGTGTGACACTGTAATGGTGGATCCATGTTGTTACACGTTTGTCCAAACCCACAGAATGTACAACACCAAGAATGTAAACTGTGGCCTTTGGTTATTAAGAAAAAGAAGACGTGGGGGTGCATGGCTGGTTCAGTCGGTAGAATGTGTGACTCTTGATCTTGGGGTCATGAGTTCAAGCCTCATGTTGGGTGTGGAGATTACTTAAAAATAAAAAAAATCTAAAAAGATGTCAGTGTGCTAGAAGAAAACATGGGATAATCTCTTCACAAATCTGGCAGGTGAAAGACCTTTCTAATTATAATTAAAAGTCTCAAAGTAGTAAAAATTGCTAAATTCAAATGCATAAAATAATTCTCAACAGAAAAACATCCTAAAGTCAGTAAAAAGACAATTAAAAACTGGGGAAAAATACAATTTGTGTCACAAATAATTTGTATCTAATATATAAAGAACTTTTAGAAAAAAAATCCCAATAGAATAATGTGAAAGGCTATATAAAAACATTTCACAGAAAGTAAATAAAAAGTGTTCCTAAATATATGGAAAAACAGTCTCACTGATTGAAAGAGTATGACGTTCAAAATACAATGAGACGCAATTTTTCACCCATCAGGTTGGTCAACGTTTAAAGGTTTATTCACGTACAGTTGGAAAGGCTGTGGGGTAGCCTCTGCCCTTATGAGCAGGGGCGGGAATATTTATGGATAGCGTGCATTTGAATGACAAGCTCACAAATGCACGTACCCTTTGACTCAGCAGTTCTGTTTCTGGCAATTTACGTGACCCGTTCATAAGCCATGTGTGGAAACGATGTGGGCGCACAGCCATGTGGCACAGTGATGTTTGTAACAGCACACCTTCTCAGGGCCTGTGTCCAGCAGCAGGGAAAATAAACCGTCGCGTGAAAAAAGCAAGTGGCAGGGCAGTGATGTAACAGCCGCACCTCTTGTGTGCGTTTCCTTGCATTTGCGTAAAGAAACTCTGGGAGGGTGTTGGTCACAGTCTGGGACTCTACCTGATGTACAAGGTGGCAGGTCAGCCCGTTACTGCCTGAGGGATGCTGGCTCAAGACGTGAGATTCCTGGCTCAGAGACTAAGGGTATCACTGCAGCCCAGCACAGCAGTTGGCTCCTATTTGCTGTGGTGCCCTGGCCCACACCTCGTGGGCATGTGCCGGGTCCCAGAGGACACTGCAGCTGGGCAGCTGGGGACACTGAGCTCTGGAAGGTCTCTGTCATGGTGATTCAGTGTGGTTCACTGTGAGTGGAAGCAGGCACACCAGCACTCTGTCCCAGAGGAAGACAGTCGAGAAAAGTTCCAGGACTGGAGTGAATGTCTCTCCCTGGCTGGCCTCTTGCGTCGCTCTGGTCAGTTCTGGGAGAACTGGACTGTCTGCTCACTAGCTGATGCGGTCACCTCTCCCCACTAGGAAGCCGGTACCGGGTCGTGGGAAGGTGACTGGGCTGGCTTGCTCTCTGGCTGGCCTCCATCTGATGCACTGAACTTCTAAGTCGGTGGGCTTCTCCCCAGTGCACCCTGGCCCCGGCGCGCCAACTTTAGGCAATCGTTTGGAATGTACTTTTATTTATTTAACTGGGAAGGAGTGGTTCTTAGCCCATTCAAACCTTGAATGGAATTTTCACAACACAACCTCTGATTTTGGAGGGAAATGATTACATTTCTGAGAATAAAGGTAAATATACCAACCAGCATCCAAGAACGAATATCAAAACTATGGATTTGTCCCACATGCAGACTGCCCAGGGTTGCGGTGTAGAAATGAGTTCTGACTCCCTGTTTCCTAGCGCTGCACCCACTGAGTGTCATGACCCCGGCAGTAGGGTTTCTATAATCTCCTGTGGAGACAGCGGCCAGCCTTGATGTAGGGCCTGGCCATTGGGAAGTGTCCCCCAGCAGGAGCCACCCGGCACCCTGCAGTGTCTGCCTCAGACTGCCAAGCGCTTGCCCTTTCGCCTCTGTCCTCACTTGGTCAGACCCTGATTATCTCTTTTCCTTCGAATCAGTTCCTTCCTATTGTCACTCTCTGTTTCTGTCCTTTAAATTTCCTTTAGTTAGTTTGAAATCAAGTGCATTTAAAAACGTTGGCTCAGGCACCTCTTGTGTGGGAGGGCCATGGGTAAGACCTAAGGAAACGTTTTCACTTTTGACTCTTCTCCCATCAGCGTCTTGGTTTACAGCCATCCCGCAGGGCTGTATTCTCTAAACATTGCAGATGCGTGGACTTTAGGAGGAAATTTCGTAAGCTGTGTGAACAAGCTTTGTGCGCTGCCCTGGGGATGGCAGTGCCGGGTGGGGACATAAAGCCACAGGATGTGACCCGCACCGGGACCCAAGCTTTGGAGTCGGGTGACCCTGTTTCTGCTACTGACCTTAGACTTGGGTCACAGGAGCTTGTCTGCTGTCTCCTGTGGCAAATGGGGACAAAACTAGCGCTGTCAAGGTTTTGAGGATGAAAGGGAATCGTATAAAGTTGTGACAGGGGCCGTTGAATCCCAAAGAAATGCTGTGATTTCTAACCTTTAGTGTCACAGGTATTGGTTCCTCTGATCTGCAGCCAGACTAGTGACATCCACTGGTAGAAGTCATTAAAGCCACGTGTTCTTTTATGACTTATACTGACTATGAAACATGTTCTTTGTATGAGGTTCTTTGTATCATCTTGGAGCAGCTGATAAACAGAGTGTGTTCAAGGACCCCTTAAAAATCAACCTGACCACACCCCTCCTGGGCTGTAGGCGAATGGCTGCTGCATTATAATCCAATAGGTTCCAATCATTCATTCGTCACAAAGTATAGTTTAAGAGACTAGAATAAAGTTGAGGTTAGTTTAAATGCCTTGAAGTAAAACAGGGTGTGGTTTCTTCCACCGGTGAACTCTTTGGGGGCAGTTACCTGCCAGGTTGTGATGTCATGATGAGGAAAATGCCGAAGTGTTTGAACAGCTTTGACGGGTGCTCCCGGTCTTGAGAGAGAGTTCAGAAGTGCCGCCTTCCTCCCCATCTGTGTGTCTCCTTGTGCGCGTCTGGCGAGAAGCGAGGACTCAGGTGTCTGGTGTGGGGTTAGCCAAGGTCGGCCGCTGCCCCTCCGCAGGTGGCTTCTCCGGGAGGGGGGGGCCCACTGCGAGCTTCTCTGGAGACAGGCTGGGCCTGTGGCGACTTGGGTGAGTGAGGGCTCTTCTCTTCTCTCCATTTTAAGGAGGGGCGTTCAGCGTAAACATGTCAGCAGTCATGCTACACAAGGCTCAGC